GTAAACTAAGCTTTAGAGTGCATTCATTTCAATAATCCACATCAAAGTTGAGTCAGAGGTCACCGAGTTATAGATTTTTTAAGCCGACACTCTTACACTGCCAAGGCATTAGACCCCTGCCACCTTGAAAACTCACCAAAACTTTTTCACAACTTCAAATTAGGCGTGCCTTATGCCGTTACAAAGCTAAAGGTAAGTAGAATCTACTTACAAAGTTTCACAGAAAGAAAATAAAAAGAGATAGATTGAGCAAGTAAAAACAAAGGCCATACAAGTTTAAAGAAGAAGATTTGCATTCACAAGATGGGGGAACATTTTGCCATGGCTTCGCCTCAAGAAGATGGAGAGAGAGGGAGCTTGGTCACCCAAGCCCTCTTAATCAAGTGGGATGAGGCCCAAAAGTGGCAAACACATCTCCACCATCAAAATCGGAAAATCCCTAACCAAGATCAAGGGTCCTCAATAACTCTCAGCCCACATCCGATTTCAAGGCTGTAAATGCCTAGAACTCAAAAACTAACACTTTTTTGGTAAAACTAACACCACCAATGCTTCTAAAACATAATTTTACCCTAAGATCAACTATTCAAAAGCCCAAATCTGAGTTCTAAATCATAAGAATCAATTAATTTGCTAATTTAGTTGTAAATTTCAACTACAATTCTAATTCTAATTAGCCTACTTGGAAATCAGCAAGGGTTCTTGCCATCAAAGCCTTCATAATCACCATTCTTCAATTTAAACTCCCTTAAGCATGAACTCTTGGAAAATCCAAAACCTAATTGCAAATTAACCTTGAATTTGTGATTTTTTCCAATTTTTTCTTTTTTTCAACTTCAAGTAGTATTTAAAATCACTATGAGAGGAAACTCCACCAAAAATTTAGCTTGTCTCCATCTTTTTAAGATCATCATTAATTTTACAATTAGACTTTATATTTTTAATCCAATTAAATTATAAAATAAAATTTAAGCTTAAAAATCTCAAAATTAATTAAGAAGATAGAGCAATTAGGTTTAAGGAACTTTCTAAATATAGTAAAATTAGAAATTAGCTTTTGGATTGAAAATTAAGATTTTGGATTAATTTAAGATATAATTCCTAAGAATTAGAAGAAAAGTTCTACTAAAATTGTAGTTTTATTACTAAGAAAAAGATTTAAAGTAATTCAAGAAAAAAAAATCATAGACCTTTTAAATTTACTATTTTTTCTTTTTTATTTATAAAATATTCAATCAATCTACTAATTAGAAGTATCCATCTAATTAACAACCTAAAGATATGATCAAAGTCATAATTAACTAAAAAATTAATTTAGATCTATTAATTAGTTATATTAGCATTAAAATTAATAAAAATATGTTAAAAATTACAAAAAGAACTATAACTAACCATCGGAGCTTTTAATTATGCTTATAGATTAGGATTTGGTTTAGGATTTGTCTATGGCTTGGTTAGGACTTAGAATTTAATCTAAGATTTGATTAAGATTGAGATTTGATTTAGAACTTAACTTAGATTTGATTAATATTTGTCTAGGATTTTATTAGGATTTGATTTAGAAATTGCTTAAGATTCAATTAGGGTTTGAATTAAAGTTTGATCTAAGATTTGGTTAAGATTCAATTGGAATTTCATATAAGATTATATTAAAGTTTTTATTTTAAATATTTATTTAGGATTCTTTATTATTTCTTTAAATTTCTATTTTTAGTATTTTTAAAAGATTATTATTATTTCTTTAAATATTTTCTTTTTATATTTTTTAAAGTTTCTTTTATTTTTTTAAAAATTAAATCATGACTTCCTTGTGTTTCTTTTGTGTTTCTTTTGTGTTTTTTTTCCTCAAATACATACTTCTTTTAAATTTATTTTGATAGATTAAAGTTTGTTTAGAGTTATTACAGATTGTTTAAAGTTTATTTAAGATTCTATTAGACTTTGTATATTTTTTGTTGCATTTTTACTTACCTTCTACTATTAGATACTCAGTGCAATCTTTAGCAAGGACACATGTAATACAACAACTTAGCAAATAAAAAGAGTATATATATAAGTCTTGTATTAAAGAATAGGTAGATATGCATTTGTCAAAGTGCAAATCTATAATAGTAGATAAAATATTTTAAGTCGATCTCTCTTTGTGCTCAATAGGTAGCTAAATTTGTTGCTAATATTGTTGCTCAACATGAATTTTGGTGGTTGTAGGTATCTACTAATAGAAAAAATAATAAATAATAAAAAATAATAGCTCAAATCTTACCTTTTAACTTCACTACACATAAAAAATAATAGCTTATACCATAGTGTAGTGAAGTTAAAAGGTAAGATTTGAGCATTTAAACTGAGGTTTAAGTTGTTGTTATGTCATGGTCAAAATAGATATATTAATTTTTGTGTGAAAGAGAGAGAAGAAAAAATGGTATTTTTGTCAAATAATGATGTAGGCTCAAATTGGTCTTTATCAATTTTCTATAGAACTCTTTAATTAAATGAGTCATGTATTACAATTAAGTGACCTCTACACATTCTCATAAAATATTATTGCCACATATTTAGTAGAAGATTTTGCTTACCTTTTGGTTGTGCAATACATAAATGATCATAATATAAGGTCAATTTAGTAAAAGTCTTGGTCACTTCGTTAATTTCTTATATATATCTATATATATATATATATATATAATCTTAATTTTATATGTATAATTTTTATTTTTATTTTTATTAAAGTCTATCTATTCTAAGTAATTAAATTTATAATACAATAATCAAACTTTATTACTAAAACAAAACTTATCAATAAATAAAAATAATGATTAAAAATTACTTTATTTAACTTAGTTTTTTTATTTAATTCTATTCAAAAATATCCAAAGATTTAAGAAATTTATTAAAAAATTCTAATCTTTTAAAAATATCATTCTATAGGAATATTATACATCTAATCTTGTCTTTTAATTAATCTTTTTTTTTTAATATTTCAACATGTTTTTTAATTTGTATTATATTTTATAAATTCTCTAAAGAAAATAAATTTTTTTTCTATATTTTAAGATTATTAGATAATGGTTGAAATATTTAATAATTTAAGCTTTTTATATTTTTTTATTTTTTTATTTTTTAAATAAATAAATAATTATTTATTAAGTAAATTATTTGGCAAAGATATTTTATTTAATTTTATTACAAAAACTTTAAATAATTATTTTTTATTTATTAAATTCTTTTTATAATATTTTATTTTTAAAATATTATGTTGTATTTTTTTTCTTTTTAAATTTAACCTAGATTATATTTATTTAAAATCAACATATCTCTTTTATATAAACTTTAGCAATGATTATTCCTACTCTAATTTTTACTTCAATTTTATAACCTACACTTCTAAGCAATAGGTTCTTACTATACATCAAAGTGCATTCTTCATTACTTTATGGAAATTTTTCTCCTACTAGATCATTTTTACAATTCTATTGGTATAAGTCTATTATATCATATGTCAATTTTTTTCTTTCCATTTAAATTGTACTACATTAATTATAAATTTTTATATTTTTTGTGTATTTAAAGTTTTGGCAATACACAATTTTACTCTAATTTTTCTAAATAGGTTTTTACTAAGCATTATAGTGCAATCTCCATAGCCTTATCAAAAAAGTTCTTCTACTAGATTCTTCATACAATGTCTTTATAATTAGTCTATTGCATTATATGTTTATAAATTGGTTATGTTTAGTTAAGATTATAACAATTATAGATTGATGCATTTTGTATATGTCATAAATGAAGACAATATACATTTTTCCTCTAAATTTCTATTCTATCATAATACTCCATGCTTCTAATTAATGAATTTTATCTAGTATTAGAAAGCATTTTTTTTTATTACACTATGGTGGTAGTTTTTATAATATGCTGTTTTTAAAAGATATTTTTTAAAAATTTAGAAAAATAATAGAGCAACCCAAATTTTTATGAAAGCAACCTAATCTATTTTAACCATCATTGCATTCTTTTAACCTCATTCCCATTCCTAGCCATTCTTTATTTTCAATCGTTGCTAAAGTCAAGGGCAAGAAGCTAGAAATGGAGGCAATGGTTGAGAACATGGAAACGGCTGGGAACAAAGATGGGATTAAAAGGGTACAATGATGGTTTAAATGTGTGGGTCAATTTAGTAAAAATTTGGATCAATTTACCATTTTTAAAATTTTATTACATAATAGATATATATATATATATATATATATATAGATAATTTAGACTACAACAGTTATACAATGATATATTTTGTGTGCATCACAAATTACAAAAATATACATTTATGCTTTGCCTCTATACTTCACCTTTTTTATCAAGCACTAATGCATGATAAAATTTTACTTAGCATTATAAACTATATTATATCAGTTAATATTGGGTTTCTTTAATTTTAATTTGGCCTTTTTTATTATATCTTTATTTTAAGTCTATTATATAATAGATTTTTTTCTTTCTAAAATAAAAATATTAGAGATTGATACATTTTTTTATAGATCTTAACCTTCTATAATATATATATATGTGTATTTTATATCTTTTTCTTTTATGCTTTTGTAAGGTGGCTTTCTACCAAGTATAAGAGTGCATTGCTTGTACCTCTAGGCCTTTTAAATGGTACAATTTTTACAAGTCTATAACAATTGCAAGTTCATAATAATCTGACGAGATTAATAAGAAAATTAACTCGGCGTTCCACAAAGTCATAAAGAACCGCAAGCTTCCCGTTCCCAGAGGACCTATTGAGAGCCAAAAGTAGGTCCCCAAGCGTCCCCTACCCCACGTGCCCATCCAATGCAAGACGAAGTCACAGATAGACTTCGCTTACGTGGACAATAGCAGACACGTGGCGAGAATTCAGCAGACCTAGAGAATCCCAAAAGTGGGGGCCAGCTGACCTCAGTACTCCACGTGGACTCGATCGAAGTGTGGGCAAAGCCAAGTCCCAGTGTGCGTTTTTATTATTTGCAATCCTTCCCCATCTCAATCTGTAGATCTGCTTGTTTTGTAATTGCTCTCTATGTTCTTCACCTTCCGCAGCTGATTTGTGAAGGTAGTCTTTGAAATTTTGTTAGTGAAGAAAGAGTTACTTGGAGAATACTTGTCATTTCGTGGGTTACATTTAGATTGTAGCAAAAAGGTTTTGAGGATCATGGCGACAACGGCGCCGGAGACTGCTGCTAGTGCTGGCGATTACGTGCAACCTCCACAGATGGTGCAAGTGAGTGCTGGAGAGAGAGAGAGGGTTTTTCGGGTGTTGATGTCCAATTTATTTTTTCTGGGTTTTTGAACGACGAGTTTTTTCTTTTGTTTTTCTACGAGTCCCATGCTAGGTCATGTCCATGCTGGTTTCTGTTGATTGTTTCTACATGTTGGTGGAATCGTTTGTTTTATATTTGTGGGATTTTCTTGGGAGGGTGCTCTGATTCGTGCTTTTTTGACCAAGGTGTGGGTATGAGCTGACGGGGAGTGTTTGCTTACGTTTCTTTCTTTTTTTTCTTTTTTTTCTTTTTTTTGCAGCCCCAGGTGCCTGTTGAGGATAAATTGCGTAATCTGAAGATTGTTGCAGAGGACAAAGTTATTGAGTTTGTTGACAAAGCCAACATCAACTACGACAACGCTGCTATTAATCCTGCCAACAAGTAATTTCCCCTTAAGCACAAGAGTGTCCTCTTGTGCCAGATTACACATGGTGTTGTGATTGAGACAGAGAGATTCGCATCGCTTGCATGTTTTGTTGCAGGGATTGTTCCATTTCTCATTGATCCTTACTGGATGAGTTTCCCTTGCATATGTTTCACTACGAACTCAGAGTTTTGTTTGAACTGTACACCTGTTTTCCTTGTAGCAATTGCTTAGCATTAACAAGATGTCAAGTTCTTGGCTGTGGAGGTGCTTGGTCCAATCTGGTAGTTCGTGTGGTTTCGTCCAGATCGTAAGAACCATGGGGCCTTAGATTGCAAACTATTCGCACGGATTGACCCTTGACAAGAGAGATTAGGATAAAGGCTTCAGAAATCTGCCTGTGGCTCAGTTTGATCCCACCTACTGCATTTAAGGGTTGAAAAATTAACATGTAGTTTATTCTCCGTGAGATTTGCAGAGCATCTGACGAAAGGCTAAAGCAAGACGTTGATACTACCGCTCAACAAGCTGCAACCAGCTACACGCAGGCACTGAACCAACTCGGGGAGGCATTCAACTACGTAGAAGCAACAGGACAAAAGGCAGCTCAACAATTAGGTCTAGCAACCAACCAGACTGCTGCCAATGCACAAGAAGTTTCCGGCGCAGCCAGGGAGCATGCACGACAGCGGACCGAGGAAACCAAAGCCCAGTTGCACGATGGCAAGTCCGCTCTACAACAGGGCATTAACAAAGTGCATGATGCCTTGTCCGAGGGAGCTGCAGTGACCACGCAAAAATTACAAGAAGGGGCTCACAACCACCCCACGGATCCCTCCGCAACAGTGAACGAGCCAAGAGCTTTCCATAGCGGTGAAGCCCAGTCTCCCTCCATGCTCCAGTCCCTCGGCAACGTGATTTCTCAAACCGCACAGTCAGTGAAGCAAGCTTTTGTTACTCCTTCTCCTACGGCAACTCAACCCCACGACACCCCAACGTCGACTAACCTTCCGGTGACCCACCCTCCAGCTCAAACAACTGCTGAAAGTTTTGGCCAGACAGCAGCTGCTCTGAAAGACACCATCAAGAGTGCTTGGTCGACTTCTCCACGAGAGTTTCCGCAGCCAGGATTGGAGAGTGCCCAACCAGGGATGCAGCAACCCACTGGATTAGACAACACCGACATGAAGTAGTTTCGCCCAATTGTGATAGGAAATAGCGTGCGATTGGGGAGGTTTTTTTCATATTAGTCTCGTCTTTCATAGTTTGGTGTTGTGCATTTGTGAAAATAGTCTTTTCCATAGATACATACTTGCGATGTTATATCATGAAACTTCGACACAATTATGTCGATCATTACTGTTAGCCATATTGATATTCTTATCTTTCAATCTCTCGGGGCCTTGAGGATCTTTGTCCACCAAAGACTTCACTTTCTTTCTGTTCCTTTCCAGTCTACATCTTGACATCTTCTATCCACAATCTCCAACTAGGCAACACTTTTCGCTTTATAAACCTGAATGTCCACTATGACTTATTAATAATAATAATAATAATAATTCATTTTTTTAATTCATATATATATATATATATATATATATTCAAGAATAACAATTAATTATACTAGTTATATTATTTTTAGATAGTTAGGCATGCATCCATTAAAAGATATTAAATTTATTTTAATCTATAGATGGTTAGATGTTCGTACCAAGTTTTTGTTATCTCTCTTTGCATCTCATTGAATTAACATATATAAAAATCTATTATTTATCTAGGTATTATCATTTGATTTGGTGTAAGATTTATATTTTATATTAAAATAAATAATTGATTCAAAATTATTGCTGATTCTATTTTTAAAGGGTATTAATTTAAATTGCAACAAATATACTACATAATGATATATGTACTATTAAATTAATAATATGTCAAGAGATGTTGATTTAGGCAATTGTAAACTATGCATGTTGAGAATTATATTGCAAAATAATTGAGGCAAAAGATTCAAGAAAACAATAGGAAGGCTTTCTAATATAAATTTAATTATTTAAATTCTAACATCTTAAGAGATTAATTAAAATATTACAAGAATCTATTGATAAAATTCATATATATATATATATATATATATATATCAAACACAACTAATCTCTTTAATTTAAAATATCTTTTGTATCTGATAATAATTTAGTTTTTGAGTATTTTTACAACCTTTTTTTCTTACAATATTGCTACAATGTTTAAAATATAGAAAATAGAGGTAGAATTACTTAATAACTATAAAAAAAAATTCTAATATTTTAGTTGAAAAAACTTGATAAAAAAAGCTCTTTTAGAAACTTTAATCTAAAATTTCAAAGAACAAAGTAATAGAATTATAAACCAAGTGCTTATACATTGCAAGTGTGATATATATATACATATATATATATATATATATATATATATATATATATATATATACATAAATTTATTCACATATATGTAAAGTTGATGTTACTCTTATTTTCATTAATTTCTTCTTTATATATTAATTTTTTTAAAGCTTGTGAGTATATTTATTATTTAGTGCAATCATGTTTTTTACAATTTTTTTTTTAATAATATAGTTATTTGTTTCTATTATTTTAATAATTATCTTACAAGATATTTTTTTAACAAAAGTTTTTTTATCATGTATTTAATACCTTATCTACATATATTTTGATGATTTAGTCATGGTATATATATATATATATATATATATATATATATCTAATCATGTTGTAATTTGCAAGATTTGTCTTAATGAGGATCTAAGATATAAAGCTTTAAGTATTAATTTGATTTAAGTGTGTACATATATTTGAATATATATTATGACATAAACTTTATGTTCTAAAATTCAAAAAATTTAATCATCTTAAATAAAAAAAATAATATTAAAAAAAATTTAGAAGTTTATAAAATATTTTAAAAAATAAAATCAGTTATACATGTAAATTATTATCTAATATACATATACATATATATGTATATATATATATATATATATTTATATATATATATTTTATTTTTATTATAAATACAATAAAACTTTATCCAAAAGTTTTGTAGAGATATGCACGATGGTACACATCAAGCATGTGAATTTAAATCAAAACATGCAAAGTTAATAACAGAAAATTCTTCGTTTATTTTGCTTAGTTTGTAATATCACATCAATAGTTGTTTATTGATATTTTTTCAACGTAACAATTATAAGTGTATGTATAGTCGTATTTATATGACAAAAATTCGAATAAAATTTGTGATTTTCTTAGAGTATATTATAGATTAACATAAGATTATTATTTGCTTTTAAAATCTTTTTTTTACAGTGTTTATAATTTTTGTTGAAAATGAAGAGTTTTTTTATTTAAAATATAATAATGTTATTTCTATAGGATGGAATTTAGTTAAATTAATATAATAAGGATAAAGATCAAATACGTTTATGCATATAAATATGTAAATTTTCAGATTAAGAATTTACCATTTTACTTATATGTTGTTGTGTAGTATATTATCCTAGTTACTATACACAAAGAATTGATGATATTGTACTTAGAAAATTATATATATATATATATATATATATTAAATTTAAAAAATATAAATATAATATACTAGTTTCACATAAACGTTTTTACTTTAATAAGACCGAATCTTCTGTTTTTGTAAAGTAATTCGGACTTCCAAAAAATATTTAAAATATTATTAAAATAAAATTTTATTGGTTAGTTAGACCAAAAATTAAAAAAATGTTTTAGAAACAACTTTTCTTCTTCTTAGATATCATATATATGTTTATGATGTAATCCAAAGAATTTTTTGATAAAATTATTTTTTTATATGTTAAAAATATTTAATTTAATGTGACTTGTTAAAAAAGATACAATTAATAATATTAAAACTTATTAAAGTTTATTGAAGAAGTGGTTGAATAAATTCACAAAAATGTTCTTAGAAAGAAGAGTAGATAGTTTGATGTAAAATTTACACAGGTTAATAACCACATGTTACTAATCTATAAAAAAGTCTTCAAATGATAATTTAATTTTAAAAAATGAAAATGAACACTACTGTCTTTGTAAGTTATTAAAAAATTGCATTATGTTTCTTAAAAATCATTTAATATCTAACTTTCATATACAATAGAAATATATAATTTAAAAAATTTCTATGAAAGGTTTTTTTTAATTATAAAAATAGTTGAAAATTATATTAAAATTTTATTTTTAATCTATAATAATTATTATTTTTGATATTATTGGTAAGCATAACATACAATAAATGCCTCATAAAACTTAAATTAATTTTTTTTGCCTGTTTGTTTGTTTATTTTATTATTTTATTTTATTTTTCAATATTTTAGTAGACATACTAAAATATCATAAAACATAATACAATATGTAGAGATTTAAAGACTATAATATGTCTGTCTATTGATTTTATTGTGAGCAAATTAATACTTTAAAGATTAGAGTAATAAATTTTATATAAATTATTTTATAATGGTGTATTTTATAAATTAATATGGTTTTATTATTAATCAAAATGTGATTTACTTTGCTTTTATATTTGTCTACATTTACAACGTTTGTGACATTAACTTTTAAGTACATGATTTAAATATAAAAAAGAAAGAAAAAAAACTAAACACATTGAGACAAAAATAAAGTTATATAGTATATCTATATAATTATTAATGACATAACATTATATTCTTACTTGCTATATACTTCAAATACATATTTTAAAATGTAAATCTTACATAATATAAATTTAATAAATAAAAGATAAAATATTTGAAAATATTACAAGAACATAATATAACATTAAATAACTTAAGGTTTTTTTATATACTATAGTTATATGTACATATATTCACATATTTGATATATATCAATCAATTGGCTTAGTTTTTATTTTTTTATTTTTTTATAATATAATATGTCAATTTACATTTGGAAATCATATATGATATATGTTTTTTTAGAAATCATATATAATATTATTTAAATATTTAAAAAGTATATGTGTCATATTATATTCAAAATATCCATACTTAGTTTGAAATGTAATTTTTCATTCATTTCTTTTTTTAATGCATACCAAATTATATACTCTTTGTAGAATTATTTTTGTATAGATCTTTGTTTGATTGAATTGATTAAGAAGTCCTAAAATCAAAGATAAAAGATACCTATTCTTGATGGTGATCTTGTTTAGTCCTTGATAGTCTACACACATTTAAAAAGATCCCTCTTATTTCCTCACAAATAAGATAGGAGCCCGACTAAAAATTTAGAATGGCATAGAAAATTCTCAGCCAAATTTTTATCAATGTATTCTTTGAGTGCAATGTGAGCTCTCATTTATGCTCCAAAATTTTAATTTTTAACTTTTTTCTTATTTTATGATAATTGATCATGTTAGATTAAGATTTATATAAGTAGAATCTGGTTTTATTAAATTTTTAGGATTACAATCTTTAATAGTATAAATCCTATCCTAATTCTTTGAATTAGATTAATTAAGACCAAAATGATAAGGATTAGAAAATTAGAATAGTAATTTGGTTAGTTTTAATAATTTAGAATTTGATAATTATTGCTATAAGGGTTGATTGAAAGCCTATGAATTCACCTACAATCATCTCATATGATTTAGAATGAAGTGGAATTAGAACTTTCTAAAAAATTTAGTGAAGTTTAGTAATGATAATTTTGAAGCTTTTTCTTCAACTTCAATAAATTCAAGCAACAAAGTAGTTTTTTTCAATTAATGGAGGCTTTCAAATACAATGGCAACATTGAATTCACCTCATGGAATAAAGAAAACAAGATTAGCACCTTCTCCTTTAATATACCAGTAGAGCAATGAAATTTTTATTTTTGAAGGATTTTACAATAATTGCTAATTTCTTTAGAAGTAAAAACTTTTATAAAAATCTTTCATAAAATCCACCAATGCTCCCACTTAGATACATCTCTAAGTGCTCACAAGTACTCTTCTGCTCCAAAAACTATACATCATGACTTTTAATGATTTTTTTGGTTTCTAAATATATGAGCCTATATGCTTTGATACCTTCAAAATACCCAACAAATACACATTTTGTTCTTTTTGCATCAAGTTTGGATGTCATGCAATCTAAATTTTTTGCATGAATAATGCATCCAAAGATCCTCATATGTGAAATATAAGATTTCTTGGCACTCCAAGTTTCTTGTAGAGTCATTGATGTGAGTACACTTGTTAGACATCTATTCCTTGTATACATTGCATTGACCACAGCTTTTATCTAATATTCATGCCCAAAGTTTTGTGCATATAGTATATTTTTTGCTAACTTTACAATGGTGTAATTTGTTCTTTTAGCAACTCTATTTTGTTGTGGAGAGTAAGGA